GGGGGAGGGGAGAGGACGGGAAATTAAAAGCACACAAAGGGGCACCATGGGTAGTGGACACGCGCAGTACAAGAGCGAGCAAGTGAGTGAGCAAGCGCGAGGGAGAGAGAGGGAGAAGAATGGCCGCGAGGGGACGGTAAAGCACTCGAAGGAACCCATGCTTCAAAATGTGTCGCTGGTAATGGGTTAAGGTGGCGGCGAGAGCGAAGTGATTGTGGTCCGTGCTCGCCCCGGGGCCGGCCGGGGGGCGCGGGTGGCAGCGGCCAGCGCGGTGTCGGAAGTGGACCGAACACGGCGCTGGCGCTGTACTGTATGTGCGCCTCGAGAACGACACCCCTCATGATCCGTGTTGTTGGGTCTCGTTTAAATTCTATACGTGCAACGATAGTAGAGGCGTGCTCGGTTCATCGAATCTGCACCGCATACGGCTACACATACACGATAGTGAAGTGCGCAACAAAGTGAACATTGGGCCAATCCTCCGAAGTAGAAATTAACGTCAAAGTTCATAGCTTGAATGCACCCACACTGATCACTCACCGTGAAAATGGTTCCATTGAACTAATGGTAATTCCCTTTATTCCAACGGAAATTTCCGTTCATATAACGACACAATAGAATGTTTTCGTTACTTCGAAGAGGCCTCCTTTGTTTTAAAGAATGATTCTTTATCCTTTGGCCTCTTTTTTCTTGAGGCATTGGAAAATCATTTGAATCAATAGAAAAATTCCAGTATAACGTCAGACATAAACTCAACGAAACCGTTTTCTGGGTGCTATGAATTTCCTTGAACAAACTTATTTAAAGTTTGGATAAAGTTCATAAAAAAACGTCCAAGTTCGTTAACACGTTCCCTGTGGCGTGACCATTTTGTGGCCACGCTCCCATGCGGCTGGTGTCCTTACCTCATCGGTGATGTCGCCGTGGTGGTGGATGTCCTCCGTCTCGCGGCGCTCCTCCTTCTCCTCGCGCGAGCGCACCTTCTTCTCCTTCACCTCCCGCACCGTGCCGCCCGGGCCCGGCACCGCCACCCAGCCCTCGTCTCCGGACGGGGGATCATCCCCGTGCGTGCGATGCTGCAAAAGAGAAAAGGGGGGCAGAGTTAGACCAATGCTGCACACACAAGCAGAAATCTGTTTCTAAGTGACAAATTCTAGCATCCTTGCTAAAAGCACTTTGTGGCTTGTATAAAAAACAAAATAAAATAAAATTGGTGTTCCTGAAAAGAACGCCCATGTGTGGTATCCGAAATAGGGATACCTTTAGCGTGCAAAATTTTAAGTTTAAAGGAATGCCTCAGAGTAAGAAGGCTACACGGCTAACATGGTGCAGCATGACTGTAGACACGACTATGAGCCCTACGATGTTCGCTACAGCGTGCGCCACACACGGAGTGTCGCATGTGTTTAGCTGCACTATTGTGCGGTCTTGCAGACGTTTTTCACGGGCCACACACACACACACACATTCAGTGCACGCACACACACACATACTCAACAAAAGAACGCCTGTGCGCGGTGCGGCAGTGAGTTAGTTGTTATCACTAACTGTCCTGGCACGCTGCTATCTGCCTACCGAGCCGGCCCGCCCCGCCGCGCCCCGTTGCGTCAGCCAAGCCTTATGTGCCTTATGTAAATGGCTCCCGATCGCGATGACACAGAAACGCAAAACGCAAAGGCGGGTCGGGTCGGGTCGGTCGGCCGGTCGGTTTGTTTGTCGGTGCGTTATGTCTGCCCGCCGGCCACTGGAGGGTGTGGGTGTGGAGAGAGAGAGAGAGAGAGAGAGAGAGAGAGAGAGAGAGAGAGAGAGAGAGAGAGAGAGAGAGAGAGCGAGAGCGAGGGAGGGGAGATGTGTGGGGAAATTATTGAAAGTATTATGAAGGCAGCGGTGAGTCGTGACCGGGGGCTTTGGCAGAACTGACGTGTCGGTTAGTGTGATACGAGGCGTTTTGCAAAGAGTATATATATATAAAATTATCCTCATTAGAATAAGAGGTGGAGCAAATAATGAGGGGGTACGTCTCGGGCTGAACAGTGACAGGAAAAGAGAGGAGAGAAGGCGAACGAAGGGGAGGTGATCCCGCGAGTCTGCTGTCACCTCTGGAGCATTTTCTGCAGTAACGGCAGCCGGACATGTCGTCATAGCGTCGAACACTCTGCGACACACTCACACACCCTCGCGCGCGCGCACACACACGCACACATGTGGGCAGCCACTCGGGTGGAACAGTTCAATTACACGGGTCGCGAGGCTGCTGTCACCTCGAGTGTCTCCCGAGCAGTCGCCTCGACTGTCTCCCGGGCTGTCTCCTCAACTGTCTTCGACTGTCTCCTCCGTCACTACCTCGCGACCGTCTCCCTGCAGTCCTCACCTCGGTGTGCTGGTGCTCCTGTTTCTCCGTGTCCTCGGTGGTGTTGGTGGTGACGATGGGGCCCGAGTCGTCCACCACCTTGCCGTCCTCCAGCACAACATGACGCTTGACGCGCGTCTCGATCTGCTTCGTTGTCGTCAGCTCTGTCTTCTTTTTCGTGATCCATTCCTCTGCAACAAAGAAAGATGCAAAACCGAATGAAATAACGCAGCACTGTTAACTCGTTCCTTTCACGACCTTAACCCGCGATAATTATAATTATGACACTTTTATTATTAGACCCTACAAACATTTCCCACAAGTTAGGGCGGAGAGAATAGATACAACTTCATGGGTGCAGGAGGAAAATCCTTGGCGCTCGCTATCCGCTATCCACAGGACTGGAATTGGCTAAGTCCAGGTAAATCCGCGACAGCGCAGCGCCAAGCTGGTCGCTGCAAGGGTCCACCCCACCTTGCATGCATGCAGCGCCCCGGCCCGGCCCCGCGAGCCCCGAGCTCTATGAGAGCACTAACTATGTCTCTTTCCTGGATATTACACGGTCGTGTGTAGATCTCACAGATGAAAGAGATACGTAATCCACATAAACAACAATGCATCAGGAACACGTTTTTACTCCGACAACAGCCGGGGCAGCTCGGCCAACAGCGGCAACCACTGCTTGCCCCCTGGCTTTTCGAGTATTTCACGATTCTCGGCCGCTGCTACTCCTGTGCGGCCGCGGACTTGCTCCCATTATGAGCCCAGCGAAACCGTTCCGAAAAGCAAAGGCGGGGTGTTCTTACAGCCCTGTTTGCCTTTCCCTTTCAGCTTGTTCCTCGGCACAATGGCACAATGGCACAGCGGTGCGTGTATGACGACTCTACAAGGCATCATAGCGATTAGGCATTACGAATGCATTTTAGATAAGCGACTCGACACGAGAGAAACCCCCGCGGACGACACGCGAGAAAAGAAAGAAATAAAGAGAGCGAGAGAGAGAGAGAAAAGTCCGGGTTTGTTCGAACACCATGCTGCTCCATGCTCTGCTGCCCCGCCCATGAGCATGTCGACACGTTATGCACAGAGAGTGAGCAATGATTGGGAACTGGAAAGAGGCGTACCGGCCACCTCACCCCGCCCTGCGATCAGACAGAACGGAGCGTTGACCCGTGACCAGGTCGGGCACACGCAAGAAGTGTGGCCGCCGGCACCTGCCACCTGCCCGCGCCCGGCCCGGCCCGACCACAAACTAGATACCCTTGTCTCGCCCTCTCTTTATCTCGCTGTCTCTGTCGCTCTTGATCAAACCCTCCGCATCGCTTATGAAAAAAAAATTGTGATTCGCGGTTCGAGGTGCTTAGGGGATCATCCAGAAAGTACGTGCATCATTTGCCGTTGCGTACCTTGCCAAGTACAGTCCACACTGAAAGTAGATTTGCGATGATATTCACACAAAGTCTTGTAATAACTATTGGTTTGCGATACTCATTATTTGTCGATCGTAGGATACGATAACTCGCTATTGCCAATGAAATACGATACATTCAACATGAAGAATATTGTTGCGAAAATTGCGATAACGTACAATCGCAAAACCAGTAAGACAACTTGCGTACTCCCATCGATATTGTTATATTGCAATAAAACATTATATAGCATTTTTTGCAATAATTTTCTATACATAAAATTTGTAGCACTAAATTTGCATTAACGAGCTCTCGCATCCTGAACGCAACGAGTGATAGTAATCGCAAACCAAAAGTAATCGCCAATTTGACGTAGTCAGTACATCGCAATCTCGATCACAGTGAATATGCAAGCGCTGTGAAAGCGCCTGACAGGTAGGCAACATCTTGCTTGGAGCGCATGAGTGTACCGCGGGTTGGCCTATACGGAGTCCCACAGGCGCTGAGCTCCTGTACCTCCTGTACCTAGCTGTATAAATCTGAGACAAATAGACTGGACAATACCTAATGTAGCGCCGTATAACAGCCAGCTTAAAATAAGTTGCGGCGGCGTGTAGGCGTGTACCGATGAACGTGCCCTTATTTTTTTCACAGTCCGGTTGATGAACACGCACAAAAATGTGGGAACTTCTAAACAAGGAGCGGCCGTGCCCCCGCAGCTGAAAGTAAAAGGAGGAGGGGGCAAGAGGGAGGGAAGGTGGGGGGCCGCGCGTCGATACTCCCGGGCCCGGGAGCCTCTAGGCGGCGGCGCGGGGCAGCAGCGAGACGGGCGCAGGTGCGCGGTGGCGAGAGAGGGGCGGAGCCGTTCAGGACTTTCGAGAGAAAAGCTCCCCCACATATCCTCGAAACACGCAATGCCGATGCCCGTTCAGCGAAAAACCCCAGCCGCACCTCCTTAGTCATGACGGCGAGTCGGTACAACCTCAGCCGAGGGCCGCCCCCGCGGGGTATTCGCTCGCGGAGCCCAGCCCGGCCGGCGGGACCCGCAGCCAGCCTCCCGGGCGGAAGGGCCCCGTGCTGGCTCCAAGGCCGCCTCAAGTGTCACGCGAGCACCGCCGTGTGCCTGTGGGTCCTTCCGGCTGGTCTTGTCAATGGCTTCCCCCACCTCCCTCCACCCCCCACCCCGGGAGGGAGCCCCGCGGGGGGGCCGCGACCCAAGGCAAGGCCGCTCCGGAAGTGGCAGCAGCTGCTTTGCTCCGGGGATAAAAGGGATAGTTTCCTTTATTTTGAGGTTTTGCTCCCAAGCGCACGTATGCGGTCGTGCGCAAAAGTGAAAAACGAGTGGTCATTGAAAAATAATCAAGGCCAACCTAGTCGAGCATTATTTAAGGTTTACTCGCTTCACCGAGCTTGCCAATAATCATTACTTTCTTGGAACATGTTATACAGCATAAGGTGACTAGCCCATCATAAAGATAACAAATGAAAAACATTTTTAAAGGTTTAAATACGTACACTGTACACTGTACAATTCAGCGTTGTACTTTGAAATAACAATATATTGTTATTCCAGTGCTTTCACCCCACAATATACAATGAAAATTTCACAATTCTCGACTGGTTAAGAATTGACAGCACCAGACTGTTGTTATATTGTAGGTTTTTCTTACAGTGTACAGGCTATATATTTAAACAGGACCACAAGGGGTGTTTGACTAATGCATCATGCATTAATAATTATATACATAACTTTCATAGACGATAGAGGAAAGAGTGAGGGGGATTTGCGCGTTCGGCCGCTCAGATTGAAACGTCAATTGCGCGGACACCTCCTTCTGGCCCGGCCGCACCGCCCGCTACACGCACTCCATCACGCAGCTGCCGTTGCACGCACTAGCTCACAATCAGCGCGTAACAGATGATGCATGGCGGCGACCAAACAATAAAGGGCAGAAAAAAGGTGCAACCGCGGCAACTGCATAGAGCGAGACGAAAAAACAGAAAGTGGAAACAAATAAAAAACACAATGCCATCCCCTAAGGTTGTACGACGATCGTGTCAATTAATCATGCAGTGCGCAGTACACTGCCATTAGCGTTTCATTTACGCCCCAATTAACACCAATTTGGTTTTACGAGTCCTTCTCGGCTTCCTGCCCGGAGCCCTCTCCGATCCGGTCCGTCCCGTCCAGCCAGTCCCGGTGTGTGACTCATTATGCCCCTCTGCTGGCGAACAGCCGCCTCCAGGCCTCGAGCAGAGGACTCCTCCAGTCCAGTCCGGGCCGGGTGGTCAGCTCGCCGGGGCCGGCCGGCGCTAGCGCCACTGCCTGGGAGGTCAACAGGAACACACCCACTCTCCCTTTCACCGCACGCGTACGTACGTGCAATCGCACGTCTGTCTACACGTCCAAAAGCGATCCTCTAATTACCCCGAACGGAATATGGTTTACAAGAAGACTGTATTCCGTAAATAAAGTGTAAAATGCGGACAAAAGATTAAACGTGTGTAATTGTTCACCACAAAAGATGTGTATTTAATTGTCAAGGTCTCACACCGAGTCGCATAACTTAATTTTTGTAGAGCGAAGAAGGTGATCAATATTGTAATGACCAAATTTCCTATCGGTTATTCAACATGACTCTCACTACTTTGTGAAGAAACAAAGCGGGCAAGCTAGATTATGTTCGGGCACACTGGGTGCTCCGGAGCTTAACTTTACACGGGCAGCAACAGGTGGGTAAGCAACGGTAAGCGCACGCTGTCGGTGTGTATCGGGTACCACCATGAGGTACCTGCTGCATCAAGGTCTGTGTGTAGGTACACGGCGGGCCGGGCGCCCACACCCACAACCGAGTGTACTGGTGCATGTCTGGGTCACCGGGCCTGGCGGGCGTGGCGGAGCGGTGTGGTGTTCCCAGAGAGGTGAGGATGGGGGCGGCTGCCGCTCGGTGCCACTGCATCTAAACGTTCTCGTATGTCCAAAATGATTTTAGCAGATGATACCTTAAAAACCTTTTGAATAAACATAAAGAATGTAAAAGAATAAAAAGTTGTCAGCTAGCTTTTACTCTCGATAAGGACAGAGAACCAAGCGCAGACCAGAAAACAATGTATTTGGGGCTGATGGTATTGTGTTCGAGTGAGTGGCTGGCTAGGCCCCTACCCAACAATACTGCGCCAGGCAGGGCACGCCCCACCTCCGGCCAACAATACTGGGCCACCGTACGGCGCCACCCGCGCCACCCGCTCTGCCCGCCCCTTATCTCCTCCTCTACGCCAAAGGACAAGACTGTAAGCACAAGTAACAAGCAGCCATAAACAAATGACAGCTAAATAATATGAGAGAAAATTAGAAAACAGCCCTATTGTTAAATTTGTATCATCTGCTTTCGAGATCGATTTTTATGTTCCCTTCTCTCGATTCTTTTCTGTTGTTCGACACTCTGGCGGCCGGGCGGAACGACTAATGCACCGCGGAGAACTTGGCCGCCAAGCGGCTCGGGGCGGGGCCAAGGTCTGACCTCACGGCGGGGGCGCGAGCCGAGCGCAGCCGAGCCGGGCACACGACATGACAGATATCGCGTGCTGATCGCCGGATTTGGCGAAGCCCTCTCTGCGGTGTCGGCACCCCGTCCCTCCCCGCCTCTCCTCCCCGTTCCCTTCCGCCGTCACGGCTGCTCGCCACACGGCTCGCCACGCCACGCGTGAAGGGAAAAGAAAAAAAAACAACACAAGACCGAGTTTCGCACATAATAATTCAGAGAGTCTTAACCGTGAGGAAA